CTAAATAAAATCAAAAAATTTTGATTTTATATTTCATTGTTAATATAAAAGTATAATACAAAAATGAATAATAATAATAATAAATTATATAATAAATCATATCATATATAGAATAAATCATCTATATAATAATAAAAAAAATACAATCAAAATTAGAATTAAAAACAAAAGAAAAAAGACAATTCATTTTTTTAAAGAAAAACATTTTTGTTATGCTTAATATCTTTAGCTCGGTCTGTATTTGTATTCACTCTGCCCTTTATTCAAGTAGTTTTTTCTTGGGGAAATTACCAGAAGCTTACGCTTTTTTGAATCCAATTGTAGATTTTATGCTAGTAATACCCTTACTCTTTTTTCTCTTAGCTTTTGTTTGGCAAGCTGCTGTAAGTTTTCGATAAGATCTTTAATTTGAATAATGTCCGGAAAAAAAGTCAGAATTTATTAGAAAACTCAAATTTAACATTTTTAAAAATAAGATAAGTCTTACAGTGTGAATCCGTGATTATAAATCTTGAAATTGTTGGATAGACAATAAAAATATGGATCATTTCATCATTTCCTTTTTTTCCATTCAAAAATAAAAATTATACTATTCTATTATTCGATTTGAGTCTACCACCAATACGTGGATCTTGTGGATATGAAAGAAAATTGAATTGTTGGTAATGGTAAAACAAAGCTCAACTCTTACTACAAATCAATTTTTTTAGTTTTTTTGAAATAACTTCATTTCTTATAAACTGAGTATCAAAGGAAACATAACATGAAATACAAGAGAATTTATTCTCTTTCTCTGTCGTTTTTTTTTTATTATCTTGGAGATTTTGTAATGCTTACTCTAAAACTATTTGTTTATACAATAGTGATATTCTTTGTTTCTCTTTTCATCTTCGGATTCCTATCTAATGATCCAGGACGTAATCCTGGACGTGAAGAATAAGAAAATCTTTGTTCTTTTCCGTACTTATGCTGGATTTTTAAATATTTTTCGTTTTTCTATCTATTTTACATCTTTAACTAGTAAAAAATGAAACAAACAGGGAATAAAAAAAGAAATTCCAGAAGTTCAAAAGAAAAAATGCCAAATCATCAATAAACGGAAAGAGAGGGATTCGAACCCTCGGTACAAAACGGGTTTTTGTTTTTGGCGATGTATATATCCGCGCCTTGTAATAGCTAGATTTACCTTTCCACACTTTATTTTCTGCAAATCATTTAACTGTTAATATGCCTGCAAGAATGTATGAAAAATAAATCAATCCGTAGCTCACAAATAACATGCAAAGACAATTTAACTGAAAAACAACACACATGCACATGCCACTCTTAGGGTACGCCTCACTGGTTGCCTCGAACGTGGTCGTCAAGTATAGGGTGTCTTAGAGGTCGCCCTCCTGTCTAAAGATCCAGTTGCCTCGAAACGGTTGCCTCGAATAAACAAAAGGATCTAGGACATTAGGGTTACTTCTAAGGTGTCCTACTATTGCTTCGGTGACCACACATGTCCCTTATAATCGAATTGACCTGAATACCTCCAACGACGGTGCTACCTACCTCTCAATGGTGGGATAGCACTATCTAAAGGACTCTTACACAACCTAATTCCTTAGAGTAGGTAGAATTCTCCTGGGTACTTGCTCTTTTCAAACAAACAAACAACTTTTCGCACATACACTTTCAAAAGGTTTTCAAACAAATATTTCATACACTATGAGGACAGATACAAGAGTTACCTAGAAATTTTTCAAACGAAACTTGTCAAAACCCACACACATTTGAAAAGCAAACAAATTTTTGAAAACATAAGAGCAAGTACCTAAGAGCCCGTGGATAACCACGGATAGAAAGGGTGCTAACACCTTCCCTTTCTATAAATCTACCTCCCGAACCGAGAAACATTCTCAAAGAAGGAATTTTGCTGTGCTTTTGTCCTTTCCATGTTGGAGAACATAAAAGACGATGGCGACTCTTGCTTACCGCGACATTTCGCGAAACCAGCTAAAAACAGTTAGTTCTATTTCCACCGATCACAACTGGCATCTCTTGTATGGCTTTCACTTTGGCAGGGTCCACTTGAATACCTTTGTCGCTTACGACGAAACCTAGTAGCTTTCCAGATCTCACCCCGAAGGTGCACTTATTCGGGTTTAACCTCAATTTGTACAACTTCAACCGGTCAAACAGCTTCTGTAGATGGTCAAGGTGTTCCTCCTCAGTTTGGGACCTTGCAATCATATCGTCGACATATACTCCAATCTCGTGATGGATCATATCATGAAACAGAGCCACCATGGCACGCTGATATGTTGCCCCAACATTTTTCAACCCAAACGGCATGACCTTGTAGCAAAAGGTACCCCACTGAGTAACAAAATTGGTCTTCTCCATGTCCCTAGGAGCCATCTTGATTTGATTATAACTGGAGAAACCGTCCATGAAGGAGAATACCTTATGCTGAGCAGTGTTGTCAACCAGAACGTCGATGTGAGGCAGAGGGAAGTCATCCTTAGGGCTCGCCCTGTTCAAATCCCTGTAGTCAACACACATTCTGACCTTACCGTCTTTCTTCGGCACTGGAACCACATTGGAAACCCACTGAGGGTAAGAAGTTACTGCGAGAAAACCGACATCAAATTGTTTCATAACCTCATCTTTGATTTTCTCGGACATTTCTGGACGCATACGGCGAACCTTCTGTTTTACTGAGGGCATTCTTCCTTGGTAGGCAGGTGATGAACCACAATGTCGGTATCCAACCCCAGGCATATCTTCGTAAGACCAAGCAAAGATTTCCACGTAGTCATACAGCATCTGAATCAACCGTTGTTTCACACTAAGCTCCAGATTTGCACCGATCTTGACTTCCTTTTTGTCTGTCTCAGTACCCAGATTTACCGTTTCCACTGGCTCTTCATGTGGCTGAATGGCCCTCTCTTCTTGAAGTAGCAGTCTTGCAAGCTCACCAGGCACTTCACAATCATCTTCACCTTCGTCTTCGGCTAAGTTGATCGGATTTTCGAAGTCATAACTGGCAGTAGCAGAGTCGTTACCAGTGAGATCCAGAGTGGATTGGGACCTGTATATGTGAGTGTGTGTAAATAGTTGTTTTGCAATATATAATAAAGAAAGACAAGGAGCGCAAGATTTGAAATGCAAAACGTCCAATGCTTTTATTAATGATATATGAAAATGACACACAAAGGCTCTCACAAATGAAGCACGGTGCCTCGGGTAAGACACCAGGCCATAAAGTTTCACAATATTGTTTGTTACGAATTCAAAACAAGGAGTTCATTACTGAGTGACAAAAGTAATAGGGACGAAGTCTTTCGCTGTCCAGTTGTTTGGTCCACCGTTGGTCGTAGGGTAGATCCAGCTGTCGAATTCAGATTCCTCCACGTCATCTTCAATGGCATTTACTCTCGAGTTGCTGATGAACATATGAGGTCTTCCAATCCTTGCCCTACGAACAACCTTATGAGCTTCTGCAGTGAAACCCAAACCAAACTTGTCAGTCTTCTGGGTGAAATCAGGAAGTCGGCCCCAGTTTGCGTACTCACCCTTCTCAATAACAGCCCGGGCATCCTTTAAGGAAGCCATCTTCAAAGGAGAATCTTCAATCACAGTCTCTGCTGATGCCAGTGTCTGAGGGACCTCTTCAAAGTGTTGAAATGGGGTCTCAATGAACTCCCCATCCATCTCTATGTACCAGAACGAGTTGAGGTGGCTGACCATATACTCTTCCTCCCCCTGAACTGTCACAATCTTCCATCTGACCGGGTATTTCAGCTTCTGATGTAGTGTGGAGGTCACAGCTCCAGCCTTATGGATCCATGGACGACCCAGCAAACAAGAATAAGATGGTCGAATGTCCATCACGTAGAATGTAGAATCGAAGACCTAAGAGCCAACTCTAATTGGAATATCGACCTCACCATGCACCATCATTTTAGACCCGTCAAAGGCCCAGACAACAATGTTACTTGGCTTGAGTTCCAACCCTTCGCAATCCAACCTGTCTAGAGCTTTCTTGGGCAAGACGTTCAATGAGGAACCAGTGTCAACCAACACATGTGTAAGAGTAGTGCCCCTGCATTCAATGGAGACATGCAGGGCATCGTTATGGTTCTTCCCTTTAGCAGTCAGATCAGCGTCAGAGAAACCCAAACCATTATCAGCAGTTAAGTTGGCCACACAATCGGTAAACTGATCAGCTGACGTCTCTTGTGGCACGTGGGCCGTCTTCAGGAAGGTAATCAGGGCCTTGGCATGGGCCTCTGAACATAACAACAGTGATAACATAGAAATCTTAGAGGGGGTTTGCCCCAACTGCTCAACTACATTATAATCACTCTTCTTGATGATCTTCAGAATCTCTTCCATCTCCTATTTGGAAGCTTCGACATTGATGGTCATTGGTGTCTCTGTCTGGGCAGGCATATCAGTGGCTATCCCTTTGCTCCGAGCATCAGATGACTCGGCGGCAGGGGTAGAAATGGGAACTTGATCAGGAAGGGAAGTAGGCACACTTGCAGGTGTGATGACAATATGTCTCCGGATAGTTTGTGGTACGATATCAGGTGAGAAAAGCCTACCACTGTGGGTGACTTTAGCAGGCCCGATAATGTTGTTGACGCCGTCATCAGTATCAAACTCTTGCTAAACTCCAAGCACATAAACATCTGCCCCATAGTGCCAAGGGACAGCTTTGTCAGATGTATAGGGGATGGGCCCCGGAACAGTGATAATTATAGGTGCAATCTTCTGGACAGGCGTAATTCTGACAGGCTTCCTTGAGGGAGCCTTGGGAGAATTGTTGAAAATGGTGACAATGGAAACTT